ATTAAATTTCCTGTTTTGTATAACATCGCCGTGGATATCCGGATAACAATACCTTAAAATATTAAAGATGCATACAAAGTCNATTCCGACCGTCTTTCGGAACACCCAGAAGACGGCACCAGTCCGCCCCGTGTGGCAATTATCATTTAATCAATATACACTGGAATGCATTAGAAGATAGATTACTGAAGTACATACTCCATTCTGTTAGATGAGATCTAAATAAGTACTGGTATCTTCCCTTAGGGTCAATTCTATAATCTGTATATGATAGGCATATGTTATTATAAAAATGTGATTTACCGGGGCGAGGGAGGGGGGGGACCGTCTGCGAATATGAACGTTTCAACTATTTGTTATCGACTCGGAGAAAAAAGAATAAAGAAAAAAGTTACGCAACACCGCAGCTTTATTTCCAAAACCAAAAATCAATGTATTACCTAGACATTTCAACAAAAGTGAATACTTTTCGGAAATTAAATATTGAAAAGTCAAAAAAAGGCAAATTTTTCACTAAACTATACACTTAGCTGATTTCTTAGCTATTATACAAAAGTGGTTTAGAGTTGAACCAGACAGTATAAAATAATTAAATTTACAAATACTTATATTCACTAACGTAACTCTGTATCTTATCAACAAGGAATGCACTTAGAGCTAACCACCAGGTCTTTTAAATCATAACATTATAACAACATATATAAATGAATACTATATAGAGCACTATTAAGAACACAATCCGTTTCAGAAATGGCAAATTTAGTCCTCGCGTATTCTGATGAGATGAAAGGTACACCTTCGCGTAACTTATTTAGTCTATACTAATTGATTTAACGTTATTTTTTTTTTTTTCAAAAAGACGCTCAAAAGCATTGGTCTCTGAAAAAAAAAATTGAAAACGGAAATATAAAATCACACTCCAGATGTATTCATGTGTTCTCCCAAGTCACCGTCATTCACTAGCTAGCGCGCTATGCTCATCTGCAGACGCCGAGGACAGGCGGCGACGCCTTACTACCGCAAACGCTATCAGTCCTACAATGACTCCACACAGAGCCGTGCCTAGTACGGCAACGACAACAGTGAGCCCAGTCTCACTGGAACGGCTGGCAGATTCGCTCGGTTCCATGGGCTTCGATTGGAACGGCGGCCGTCTGATAATGGGTAAAGCATTTGGCGTCAGGGCGTGGGCTTTCACACAATAGTTCATCTCACAACCTTCGTTTATTGCAAGGAGGTGTTGACTGTAACCGTGAGGGCATCTTTTGGGCCAAAGAGGCGTGATAGCAGCTGAACCCAACGTCGCCCCTACGACAGAGCGGTTGTGAAGGTAAGGTGTGTGTGGCGAAATAGCGAGCGGATTTCCCGAGGAACAGCTGAAAAAACCGGCGAAAGGTATGGCATAACGAAATCCCAGTTCGTAATCATCACTGACACATATGTAGATAGGAAGCGGCACACCCAGTTTAAGCGCTGTGAAATGAACCGGACAACTCTTCCCCTGCGTCAGTGGGTTGTCCGCATGGGCTGTGTAAGTACCACCAAATAAGAAGCCCGACTCTTGTTCAACCTCTCCAGTGGCAGCACACCAGTAAATCTGGTAATTTCTATCATTACATACGTCATGGCAGCCGTAGGTGATAAACAAAAAATGGTTACATTCCTGGTGACATCGGTGCAGTTTGCCTTCATCTAAAAGGACCGCAGTGTATTGGGGAGGGCAGGAATACGTTCCAGTTTTCTGGTTTACCAGGGAATCCCCAGGAGAACACAGTCCTCCAGAACATGTCTGATAAACACTCCCGAACGTGAAATTTGTGGAAGGATTTACACAGGTATTATCATCAAAGTTAGCAATGTAGCTAAAATTTGGAGAGTCGACACTAGTGCAGCCACGATAGACGTTATACAAGTAGTAACTTTCCACCGCTTTCTGGACGCTGTCGGCTAAATCACGCACTGTATCCAGCGGCAACTCTGGCAACGTACCTGTCGTGATGATGTAGTAGAGTGGATCACCTTTGCGGTCCACGGCTACAAGGTTGTTTTGCAAATCATCTACCCACTGGTCTAACGTGAAATTGCTGCGAAACGGTGGTCCCCCCAATGTTTTTATGTGAAAGGACACGCGACTCCGGAGATATTTTTCTAGTTGGTCGTGTTTTACAGTATGGGTATAAGACCCACTGGCACCGATTAACCCAAATAAAGAAGCGCTAGCCGAAGCCTTGATAGTAGAAAGGTCATGGTCCATGTTTTTTACGTACGATGAATCTAAGTGGTCTTCTTGGATGATTGCTCCTCCGGCGTCAATGCCGGTAACAAAATGAGTACCGTAATCGCGAACAAGAAGCTCCGATAGATAAGTGACACTGTCTTTGTCCCCCTTTTGTATATAGGACGCAATTTCTAGCAGACGATCTTTGAAGTTGGGGTGGAGTTGGGGGTCTGGCTGACTATGGATCTTGTATAACACGTAGCGTAGTTGCGCCCTGCTAAGAACAGATTTATCTTCCGTGCTGTGCATCTTTGAATTTTGGTAAGACCTTGAAAAAGAGCCGCTGATAGACCCAAAGGTCCACCATGCATGCGCTTCAAGATTTATCGAGCTCGACGTGACATCGGTGTAGTTTAAAAAGTGCGTATAAAGTTCCGAGGTCATTTCGACGTTGCTTTTCTTTAGTGGAATTGCATACGTGTTGTCTGGAATCATGAATTTTCTGTCCTGCGTTATTCGACACTTTGAATAATTGAGCACCATGATAGGACCCATGTCGACGTTACGGAGATTGTCCCACCCGTTAAGGGGAATGACTTCTAGCATCGTCTGCTGCGGGCAATTCGGCGGATCGCCGTATTCAAACCCCTTCACTTTATTCTTGATAACTGTGGAGGTCTTTTTTACAGCAACCACAGATCCAAGTTCCCATGAAACCGCCGAAAAGGCAACGAAAATGACATACGTGCACACACTCAACATTTTCGCGATCTCCTTTCTTCGATTAGTCGCGGCTTGGTTTTATTTGGTCCACCTCGTCTGTTATTAGCAACGGAATACCCCAGGGATCATTTTGAGACATTTGCGTCACCCGACTCTCGTTAATAATACAGCTCGTTAGTCTTTTATTGACAAACCTATAGGCCATAATCGAAGCTTGAGAGATGTTGTTTACCACCCACATCACCTTGATAAAAAGTGGACTCAGAACTAATAAAAAAGTATTTTGCAACCGGAATGCGCTGAGGGCAAAGATGGGGAGTGGTTGAATTGAAATATATCACAGGAAGCGCCTCAGTACCTATACCAGATATGCAGTTTACATTTTAATCCACGTATAATTATATTAGCTCTCTAAATATTTTACAGTAGTTTAAGGGCATATTCCCATAGATTTTAGATCGATCTATCCCCGTGGGGAGTCTCACTAGATTACTGTCAGATAATCCGGCTTAAATGTCCACCACTACTACAAGCTGTAAGGGGGTAATTAACTTTCGTGCCCGCTCGGCTGACAGCTATTTAGCGTGAACTCCCAGGGAGTTAGGTCGATCTAGTTGGTTCGATCTAATCTCTGGGAATGGGGTCTAAGAAATGATGTACAAATAGTATTTTAAATTGTAATAGTTAGGCCTACTGATTGCACATGACAATGGTTTTTAATCCGAAGTCGGCCCAATATTGAAGCAAATATTTTTCATTTCCGTTCTTCTACTCAAAGGCAACTTAGCCAAGACAGCAAAATTAAAAAAAAAAAAAAAATGAGACTGTCCTTGTGCATTTAAGGGACAAAGTTAGTGTAGTGGTTGAATTGAAATATAAACTTGATGCATTGATCTGGCCTAAATATCACAGTAAGTGCTTCAGTAGGCCCTACCTATAGGCTATCAGATATGCAGGAGACAAAAATATAAAAATGTAGGCCTACATGTACGTAGGCTATAGGCCTATATCAACTAGGCCAGATCAATGCATCAAGTTTATGTTTCCTTTCCAGTACTTTATAAATGAGCTAAATTTACTAAATTTTGTAGCTGTGATCAAGCTTAATTTGATTGATGTTGCGTATTTTATTATTATTATTATTATTATTATTATTAGGCCTATTATTAGGCCTAATGTTTAATGTGCAATCCGAGGTTTGGATACCTATTCTTTGCATTGTAGGACCCTACTAGTAGTTGAATAGGCCTTAAGTTAGGCCCCTACAATAAAATTTAAAAAAGAATGCTAAAATATATATGTTAACAAATTTAAAATAAAATAACTAAAATGCAAGGTCAAAAATGAAGTAAACGCCTATTAGTAGGCCTAGGCTATATCACACAGGTAAAAAAGTCACTCATTGATCGTTAGCCTAAGTTTTAATTTAAGGCCTTTTGAAAGTAATTTGAATAGGTCCTGTAGCATTTGTTGAAAAGTTGGGCACACAAGTTGTGGGGCTTTGCTAGAGAAAATTTCTACAGTTGCGGATAAGTGGGTGTCAGGGGGGGGTCCTGACCCCCCCCCCCCCCATACCCCCCTTTGATTTCTAAAAAAATCTGACACTAGTTAAGCCTACTGCCTACTGTTCCCCTCTTGAAATTAGAATTTTGACTAGCTGAAACATAATTCTAAAGGGGGCGTCTCGATAGTCCGAAGGTTCATTGGTCCGAAGGTTCATTGGTCCGAAAAGTGGTAACATTTTTATCGATTTTTTAATCAAGGGTTCATTGGTCCGAAGGTTCTATAGTGAACATTCGGACCAATGAACCTTCGGACTATTGAACCTTCGGACTATCGCTACGGCCCCATTCTAAACCATCCCAAATGGCACCGTTCGCCTTCTAAAATACCAAAAAAAAAAAAAAAAAAAAAAAAAAAAAAAAAAATTCGGGCCCCCGAGACTACAATGTAAGCCTACACAATGTAGGTCTACTGGCACATGCATACAGGTAGACTTTTACCTGAACAGTACCGGAAGTAACTTTGACAGCTTTTTGCGTCAGCGTCTGCGCAGTAGAGAAAAACAACATGGCGAGTAATGCATCTTGAAAAGCGAGTGTTTGCACGTACTAAAAACCTTTTAATTAGTCACTTAAATGGAGTTGTTGGCGGTTAATATTATGTATGGGAACATTAATTGTGTAGATTAACAGGTGAGTATAGAAGAAACATCATTAATGTGCTTATTTAGTTCTTTTACAACCAAATACTCAGCCGGTTGTAACAGAGCAACCGTGATCGCGAAATCGTGGTGATCGATTCACTTAGGTGGTCTGCGGTACTTTTTCAGATAAATCACAAAAAATAACTCGTACAATCCTTATATTTAGTTTATAATATCTAAATTGTTAAAGATTATCAGCTATGCATGCTACATCTATATATATGTACACCTAAAATATATGAATTTGGGGAACACAAACCTTAAAGGAATTAAGTCTGCCCAGTTACGAGGCTTAGAAATTGCTGTTAAAATTATTAAATAAACTGAAACCTAATTATAACTTGCTGATGCATGTTTGGAAGATGATGTCTGAAGAAAGTGGATATCATCTCATATTACAAAATTCGTTAAGTTCCATGCAACAATTATTTTACTTAAAATTAAAATTGATGAGCCTGATGTCATATGAGTATGTTTCAGAATTACACAACTACATGTACATTAGATGAGACATTTTCTAAACAAGCACTTAAATTTTAGACCCATAAGCAATTCAAATAAGGTAATGCCTGAACAGACCCATATTTCCCTGGGTCTCTTTTGGGGGGTCAATTTTGAATCAAGTCAGAAAAAATGATCCTCAGTTCATAAAACTGCATGTAGGACTCCCCCTAGAAATGATGCTAAGATCTAACTTCTCATTGCAGCATGCACACAATGGAGTACTTTGAGTCGTCTCCAGAGTCTGCAGCCTCTGTGGACAGTCGCAGCAGCAGTAGTGTCAGCGGCAGTAGTCACGGCAGTGCCAGCGAGGAGAGCGTCACACAGCTGCTGGATGACACTTCAGCTGACTTGATGAGGAATGGCGGAGAAACTCAGGTGATTTGTGTGCACACATCTCTCTCTCTCTCTCACACACACACACACACACACACACACAGACACACACAGACACATGGTTTTGAGAAACGGGTAATTTAAATGTACACATGCAAGAATACATTCCTGCATATTACCATATTCAACAGTTTTGACTTTTTGGGAAATTTTGTGGCTGGACCTATGCTAAGAAATTTTTAAGGGCTCCATGAAATCAAAAATGAGTGAATGACTAGTTAACATGCACCACAAACTGATGTGACAGTCTTGAATTCAATATATAATATGTACAAAATTGTTTTAGCAAATTTGGATTTTATAACAGTCTTATCAGAAAGTGTGCTTTATTTTTAATTTTAATAAATATAAAATTGTATTTTACACTCTAACATCAGCATGGGAATACCATGTTGTTGTATTTTTTCTACAGCTTATTAATTGCTTTTGTTATTCCTTTTTGTATATATTTCAGAGTCTTGCATCTGATGTGATGTATGAGATTTTAGATGAGATCTCTCTCGGACTCTGCTTTGAGATGCACAGGGCTTGCAAGATTGGAACCTTCTTACTGGATGCCACTGATGAAGAGTGTGTATACGGAACAAACTGAATATGTTCTGCATTTAGTGAATATTTTTATATTGTATAAATTTTAAGAATTCAGGGCAGTGCATAGTGCACATTTTTGATCATTGTACTTTACTGTTTATATAACTGAAGAATTTATTTTCTAAAAAGTCCAGCTGAAACAATAAACTGTAATTTTTTTTGCCATTCATCTCAAATACATCAGTTGTACCCAAAAAGTTATACAGATGGTCAGCTTTTTTCTTTCCCAAAACAGTCCCTGAATCCAAACCAAGTCAATTTTGAATACCGTTATTGAAGTTGTAAATTTTACACAAAGTGGCATATTAAGGTAAAAAAAAAATCAAATTTAATGAGAAATGATGGATTATTAACTTTTGATATCCATATTTTTACAGGAGTCAGAAAGCGTATGATATTGTAGATGAGAGAGGGCTGGATGTGTTTGGTCAAGTGCCTTCAAAGAAACAGTTTGAGTGCGTATGTCCAAATTGCACTAGGAATATGGCTGCTTCTAGGTTTGCCCCGCATTTAGAGAAATGTATGGGTATGGGGAGAAATAGTTCCAGGATTGCTAGTAGACGGTATGTACCACAGGGTGAAATCTCCCGCCCTTATTCCTTAGGGATGTGAGAGCTTCTGTTCATTATAAAGATAGTCTGAAAATATTTGAAAATAATCTGAAAATAATCTGAAGATACTTGAAGCACAGGGAATAATATACCACAGCATTATTAAACATTCATAATCTCCTCTCTGAATCATATTTGATTGAGCTTTCTGACTTAAAAGAAGAACAGAAAGGTGTTATTGGATCAGTCAAGGATATGCTCCCTTTGAAGCCTATTTTTTAATCTATAAAACTTTTTTTGATACTTTCCAAGTTGCTAATTTATTGGTGTTCAAGAGGTTTAGGATGTGGTGAAAGTGCCCCTTTTTTCTTATTAATAATATTTGGTCTTTTGATATGAAGAGATGAAAAAATAACAGGGCTACTGTGCGTACTGTAGTATGACCATACTGTGAAATTCAACTTTTTCAGGATCGCCAACACAGGCAAAGGTTGTGATGATGATGGGGAGGATGATATCTTAGATGATGACAACGACAATGATTGGAGTTACCAGACAGACAGAAAAAGTAAAAAAAAAAAAATCCATGTGTTTAAGTTTATGCAGATTGGAAAATCCAGTTGAGATATTGTTTACACAGTTTTGAATACATCTCTAGAAGCAGATAATTATATAATTACTTTGTGATTTTTTTCATCTGGTGCCCCTCGTTTATCCAATGTTGCCAGCCAAGTAACCATTTTTTCACCAGATAAATGCTGCATTTAATATGAAATGCACAAAAATCTTTAAAAAATAATATATTAGTCACATTTTATTAGCTATTTTTATTATGTGACTATTTTCTGAGAAAATATTTATCAGGATCTAGTCTAGATAGGTCTTACTTCTGAAAGATGGAAGATGCAGGCAATGTGTTTGAAATAATTTGTGAAATTTTTATGTTCATCATTTTTGAATTTCAGTAAAGAAGCTAAGGAAAGAAAAAAGAGGGGATTCCCCAAGAAGAAGCAGAATACACAAGTATAAAAATGGTAATTTTATTTCTTTTCTTTAATTGGAAAAATATAATGTCACTGGCATGTTCCCTGATTAGTTGTGTGTGGTACGTTAACTGTATTTGTTTAGTTTGACAGCTCTACTTGTTCTCTCTACACACTTAAATTCAAAGTTCTTACTTTGCCCAGAATTGATGATAGCATTTAAAACTAAAGATGAGGCGCCACCCATCATCAGTATTCATTGCTAGTCGCTGCACTATTTATTATTATTATTATTAGTATAAATTATTCTATTTATTCCAGGTGATATTCCTAGTGTTGGCAGTGCAGTGTCAGAAAGTTCAGGACTTACCCCTGCATATGAAGTGATGACCCTGGGTAAGTGATATAGTTAGGTAAAGGACTCATTGGACACAGGGACAGATTCTTCTATCTTTAAGAATAATAAACTGGACTTCCATTTACTAGCTTTGTTAATATGCATATTATCAGAAATCATGAAAATTTGTCGTTTTTCCAGAGGAAAGAAAGCAGCTGCTACTTTCAGTAAGTAAAAACTTGATTAAAATCTTTCTCTTTGAAGATCTTACAAGCTATCTTTGGGATTGCACTGTCAAATATAATGTTGCTAATTTCTTTAAGTAATTGACTTTGGCTTAGGAATATGACCACTGTTAAAATATTATTTTGTCATATGATGATTGATTGAAGACAAAGTTGACTTAAAAGGACATAATTTTTTTGCTAATGTGAGTCCTTTGATGTTAAGGTAGCACATAAAATTAATGATAATTTTATGAAAAAAAAAAGATGATCTTCTTACTTTGTAGTCTTAAGTTCCAAGCTCTGATAAGTTAATATAATACCTTTCGAATGAGATAAGACAGTAATATTTAACACAATTGGAAACTTTCATTTGCTGAAATATGTGTTGTTTTTATTATCAGCAGCTTGTGAATTGAAATTATTGCCATTTTCCAGACTTGTGGTGTGATCTCAGAACACACAAGAAAAATGTGTACTAAGTAAGTATGCCAAAATTATAAGGATTATTTAATGTCAGATTCAGTAAATGCACCATTCTTTAAGTCTATCTCTGTACACTGTCAATTGAAGAATCCTGTCAATGCGCTGACATTGCATCTTCTGGAAACATGACAAAGGATGTTTCAACAACCTGAAGTGTGTAACTGAGATACTTAAAATAATATAAATGTAGACTTTGTCACCAGATATCAGCTCTGAGCATTCTTTACACTGTGCCTAATTTCAGATCCTTACGATGTCCTCAGCACACAGATGAACAAAGACAAATGGTCAGAAGCCAGCTTCTAGGACATACGTATGTAGAAAATTCTCAGTAACTCTCCTGTCTCAGTTACCCTTAGCTTCGTCAGATGTGTGTACAGTCTTTATTTTCATATCTTCCTGTATGTATGTTAATCAGACTGGCAGTTGGCGACAAGTCTGATTGAATCAAAATGTGCAGAGAAGCATCCAGTCATTACTATTAGGCCTAACATTTGTGATTGGAGTGATGGACTTGTTGGGAATTTGACAGGGGAAGAAAGTGACCTGTGTGAGAGCAGAAGCCTGTGCTAGTCTGGGTCCTCTGTCTTTCATAAATGGATTGGGAATCGGTCTATAGTAATATTGGAAGTTTCTTGTGGGATTTGTAATACATATTGACTGAAAAAATAAATAAATAAATAAAGATTGCAATCTGTGTGTCCAATTTTCTTGCAATGTATAATTTTTTTTTTAATTTTGGGTCAAATTTTATATCTTTAATGCACATGTTGAACTTATTCATTGTATTTTGAAGAATTCTTATCTTAGATTTATGAGGTTGTTTTTAAGAAATATGTTGGAAATGCATTTTCTGTTGAGATCAGTGTGTTGTTGATAGAGGCCAAATCTTTGGCTGTCAGAATGAATAATGTTATTCTTGTTCACTGAACACCAATATACTGATTATTGAAGATATTACTTGAAAATATTGGATTTGAAAATATGGTAATGGGATTTTTGTTTGCATCTCATGGATAAATACCTTATTTGTTTCAGATCTTTCCCAGAGACAGATGATGTACAAATTGATATAGATGGTTTTGAAGACACTGACCTTCTTAGGGAACACTTACAGTGGGAGGCAGTCTCCAATCCCTCTCCAGCTGACTCCACTTCTACTACTAACAGTGAGTGCCTCTTATTGCTACATGCACTGTCACATCTAACACAATGTCACATCCAATACAATGTCATGTCTTTCTTATTGTCACATCTTACAGTGTCACATTAACACATTGTCACATCTGTCACAATGTCATATCTTATAAACTGTAATGTTCAACACAGTGTCACATCTAACACAGTCACATCTAACACAATGTCACATTTAGCACATCGCACATGTAACAGATTTTCACAACAAACACAGTGTCATACTTAATACATTGGCAAGCTTGAACACCCCTGCAAGTAAATAATTTCATACCTGACTATTTTCGGTGAAATTGCACACAAAATTGTAGAGATATCACTTACAAATTTCAGTTTTTATCCTATTACTAGACATAACCTGGTGCATGTTAAAGTGCCAAAAAGACACAAGATATTCATAAAGCAGTAAAAAATACCATTTAAAAAAATAAAAAATCATCAATTTTCCCTTATCACTGAGATATGTGCCATCCCAATTCTTTGAATACACAGGTTGTGCCCTTTTACCAATAGTTGTATAATGTTATTTTTATAGGCAACGGCAGTAGAAAACAGAGAAAGCATGGAGGCAGAAGGAAGAAGCCAGGCAGATCCAAGTCTGCAGCCAACACTGGGACACCTAGTAGTGTGTATGAGTTCATGTGATACTTGTTATATTCCATACCATAATACTGACAAAGTGACATTGACATAAAGAATTAACCGAGTCTGCCCTAAGTCAGGAAACCCAAGCAGAATATGTGTATCTGTGTAAACCACTGTGCAATGTTTTATGCCTCAGTACTGAAGTTAACAGGCAGGGGCCAGTTTTCACAAAAAATTTTTAGACAAAGTTAGTCTCAACTTTTCAACAATTTTTTTTTCTTTTTTGTAAATTCAGGATGAATGCTTAGTGAAAAGTCCACTATATTAAAGTCACTATTAGCAACTATTATCTTTTAAAGCATTAACCACTTAATTCTGGTTATAAAACTACCATTAATGTGGACTATTAATTGTATACATTAGTTTAACTTTAGACAAAACATTTTGGTCGAAAGTCCTATTGTGGAACCTGTTATAATTTTTTGTCTGCACTTAAAGAGGTTCACTTTAATGTTAGATTACAAGTTGGATCAAACTTCTACATGTCACAACCACATAATTTAGAGACACCCTTGTTTTCTTTAGAAATTTAGGTTGTTTACTATCAAATATGATGTTGTAATACTTCTTTGCATTCTTAACAGCAGAGCTGATGACTGGAATGAAAACAAAATTGATGCAGAAATTTTTTCAAAGTGGCATAGATAAAACTATTCTGTGCAAATTCACAAAGGTGCTAGAATAACAGGGATATCAGTTGTATGGGGCGTTAAGAGTTGAAAAATTGTGATGCCTTGGAAATTGAATAAAAAAGTTTAGTTTGCAGTGCATAATATGAATGTATTTATGGATATGTTATATGGAAACTTGGATTGAGAAAGAGGCATCCACTTTCAAATTTCGATCATTCATAAGGTTTCTGCCAAAAGAAAAATGCTGTTTTATCACATGCTAATTCATGATATTGGCCCTGGGGCATATGTTTGCATCATTTAAGAGGAGTTCAGTGCAAAAAATTACAGTTAAAAGTTGAAAGTTGCTAGAAACACAACTTGAATGTTAATAAATTGATATCAGAAATGTTATTACAAAAATATTGTTTTGAGTGAATGACAGGATAAATAAATAAATAAATAAAAAGGAACATGACGCTATAATAAGGAAAGAGAAAGAAATCCTGTTTAGCCTATCCTCGATCTTGAAAATGGAAATTGTAAAATGGAAAATGGAGTGTGTGTGTGTGTGGGGGGGGGGGGGGGTACAATTAAAAAACTAGACTATTGGTAATGTAGTGGTAATACACAAAAAGAAGGATTCAATTTATATGAAGTGATTTGAAACAATTTTTGTACGATTTTTTTCTGCTTTCCCTTACAAAGGAATAGGCCCATTCTGATTGTAAATATCCGCGAAGAAAGAAGTCGGAACAAATTAACTGAACATTTTATTGATGGTGCCGACATTTTATTGACGGTGCTGTAGATTTGGATGTCGTTTAGAAAGTAACACATTTACACACGCTAGGGGGGCAGACCCCTCTAGAGCAGTTACTGGTGCAGTACGCATCCGCGGCGGCGTTCCCGAAGAAAGCGCCGATGGCTTTACATATCATTACGCTGCTGCCTCCATTCCCGCCATTTCCAGTGCCTGTAGATGGCGCTGCTGTGTTGCTTGTCCCTGTCCCACCTCCGCCTGTAATTTAAACTCATGTATATGTACATGTATATATAAACATACATTCAATAATAATATAACAAGCTGTGGTAAAACGGTTAAAATTAAGATATAAGTGCCAAGTAATAAGTCAAAAATCATAACCTTGCCCTTTGTCAAACGCAGACAGCATGCTTGTTTGTTTGTTTGCTTGTTTGTTTTTTAATTTTAAAATGGTAATGTTCTTTAAATATTACAACACCACAAAATAATGTCAAATAAATAAAATGATATAAGACACGTACCGACTGCAATGTCGGCGCAGTTGACGTATTGCTCCCTGGGAGTGGTAGCTCCTACGCTACCTGTTAAGATGAAAATGTTGACAATTTTAACAAATTGTGTAAAATTAATGGCAGTCATTGTGTTAGGTGTGACAGTTTCTGCACATATAGCATTGTGTGGGCTATAACAATTATAATATAATAATATTGCGGTAGGTTTGTATGTTTCATTAAATCATTTTGATGGGTGTACAGACGTTTGAACCGAGGTTGGACGACTATTTCTACCACTTCAAAAAGAAATAGAGAGAGAGAGAGAGAGAGAGAGAGAGAGAAGGGGGTTGCTTCAATGCGCTCCCCCCTTTCCTTATTAACAATATCAATACAGCCATCACCATCTATTTCAAATTTGCTTCCTGGGCGCGTTTGAAGACAGTGTCTCGGTTGAAAATAGTATCCGTGTGTTGGAGTTTATTGTTAAGCCTACCTGTATCATACAACCACTGTAAAACGCACTGTGAGCAACTCAGACCATCAGGTAAAATGTACTTCATCACGTACTTTCCCGAGCCGTGGTTTAACAAGGTTTTGGTGCCAGAACCATCAGCATTCTGGAAATCGTTGAAACTCACTACTATACCTAGTAGAGGAGACTTTTGTATACGTTTTATATATATAACGTATACAAAAGTCTCCTCTACTTGGTTATACAGTAGGTTAGAATATGCCAAGATTGCAATAAAGAACTGTAAAGTAATAGTATTTTGTAAAATACATGTAAGTGCTGTATAATCAGTAAATATTATCATTATGTAATGAAACACCCGAAGGACAAAGGAGCGGAAGAAGCAAAGAAGCTTAAAACAAGCACTATTTTTACTGGTCAGATCACAGGTGTTGGTGACATGTGTTTTGAATAAAAAACATTAGTGAGTGCAAAGAAGGAAGAAAGCAACTGAACGCACTCACTCTCAGGACATATTTGTCCAAGCAGTCTTGGCTTACAGGGACCTTGGGGTTATTGTTGGGGCATAAGCGAAACTCCATCCATCCTTTCTGACCATGGGTAATGTCCACGACTATATCTATAGTCTCGCCAACCCCAAAACTTCGGACAATGGTCCCCGTTGCATATTTCCCTCCAGCTTCGTGATCGCGCACCCCCTGATAGGGGTCGCCACATACCCCACATTGGCCATTGCTTCCGTACCACTGGGCCTGGAAGAAATTGCGTTTATCATACTAAATTGCAACCCGACTTGGCGTCCACTTAACACCGACTGTTTTGTTACTTATGTTTTATTATGAGAACATTATACAGTAACAATAAGCACCTTAGACAAAACCAAAATAATATAAATATATGATAATAGACAATAATTCATACAGAATGTGAAATTAGTAAAATTCCACTTTTTATCGTAAACAACATGTAGTTTTATATATATATTTATTAACTGTAGGTCATACTAGTATATCTCACAAAAAAATTGATATGTATGCCTATAACAATAAACAATATAGCAATATAGGAAAAAGAAAAATTCTCAAAACGGTTGTATTTATGGGGCATACATATGTACCTTAAGTCCGCCGCAGTTAAGTCGGTCGTCCGCATTATTGACGGGCGTATGGAACCCAAACCTCCAGGCAGAGTTTCTTGACGGTGGCTCTATGAGACGGCCCTGCCCATTGGCCAGACCCACGTAACAGCTGACCAGAAGTAACGAGAAACAGACCAAAAACTGAAACATCTTTAAAGTGGTTTCCGATGGCTGTTGGATTTTGCGTGTGTCTCTGTTTGGGTCAAGCAATGTAGGGCAATCGGATTACAGTTATCGGCCTCATGTCAGTGTTCGGGGGACACTTGTGGCAGTTCCCACAGGCAGCTGCGCAAGCCGTTTTCATATATATATATATATATATATATATATATATATATATATATATATATATATATATATATATATGTATATATACAGGTGCTCCCGTTCAACACACGAGTAGATGGCATGAAATCTTCGTGAGTATTCATGGCCACGTTCAATAAAGGGGAGACAGCGCCGGAAATAATGACAGGTGAAAAACCGTATAAAAGATTCCATAGAGCAATTGATCGGCAATTTACGATTTTTGCTTTTAGAACACAGTGAAACCGAAAAAAAATCTGAAAGACATACTAAGAGGATAAAAAGGGGGCAAAAGAAGCAACGTTTTAATTTAGTTAATAATAAATCACAGGGTTAGTGGCATGTTTAATTAAAGCCATAAGTACTAGTAAGTGCAAAGGCTGAAGATAAAAATGTAACACGCTAAGGACATCTTTGTCCAAGCAATCTTGGGTCACAGAGACTTGTGGATATTGTTAATCGGCCTCAAGTCAATTTTCATGTGGCACTTGTACTCCCACCTACTGGCAAAGCAAGTAATTAATAAAACGAATCACCCTTTTTTATCTTTAAAAATACCTTTGTAAAATACGTTTGATTTTAATAGCTATGTAAGACAGTATAACATGCACCCTGAGCTTCAGAGCTAACTTGACACTAACCTAATTTTCACTGTAGCCTATCTCCATCGTGTCAAGTAAGGACTTTAGGAAAGAAATCGTGCTACTTTATTATCTTCACTTCTGCTAGTTCTTTCTGAAGAAAACTGCAGAGAGAGAGAGAGAGAGAGAGAGAGAGAGAGAGAGAGAGGGGGGGCGGCTCAGAAATCGAAACTCAACCACAACGCCATTGCGCATAGCATCTCAGCAGTCACAATCACTAGCTGCCTTCACGGCAAGCTGACACGGATTCCATATTCAAGTCATTGGACGATCTTCTCATTAAACATTATCGCTTGACTTGTTACCATCTAAGCTTGTTATCTTTTAATTTCACTGAACATATTGATCTAGAATGAATAAATAATCTGAAACCAACATAAAGTTATAGTCCTAGTCAGTAATTCAGGTCATTTCACTCAGCTGACAGGCCCTGTAAATACATTAATCTTGTTTTAGTTTATTAAAAAGTCTACAACATATCTTTGAGGTTCTCTATTATTTTCAAGGTCCGTTCAGACAGGAATTATTTCAGATTGGATATAGACTCAGTTGTCGTCAAAATGAATATATCTTTCTAAGCATAAGTTGAAGAGTTCACCTGTAAAGAAACAAGGCAAAATTCGGGTCGAGTTTTTAAATTAAGCAGTGTTTTTTTAATTTTGTGAAGTCTTTCATCTGTTGCGTTAAGTCAAAACAAAAATAAAAGACAATGTATTGTCTGAATGCCAACATATCACGTCACGCCTCTGAAAACTGCACATATCATTTTACAACTACAGAGACATACAAGTAAGTTCTCAGCTGAAATCTGTTCACGCTAACGTTTTCTTCTAATAGCATAAAGGTTAAAAAAGAAATGGTTAAGGTTATCAGCTGTGTATCAACATACAACATCACTTCTTGAGAAAACATTTTTCTTCTCAGCTGTACGACACTGCACTGTCGTTCGTCTTATTTCATGGAGACCATGCAAACCGAGTGCTTCACAAGCACGGTAATTACCTGACATACTGGTGACGTACTAATTTGTTACTGATGACAGTGCCTGTGACGTCCTGTCGCTACCATTGTTATACAACCTCTAAGGCCTTGATTTAAAAAAAATAATAAAGTATGGAACTTTTTTAAGGATCCAAATATACTAAAAATTTTGGCGTTTGATTAAATAAGGGAACAACAATCAACTTTAAAGTAAAAAAAAAAAATTACTGGATTATTAAAAAAGTTATTTCGTTGAGCAGGATCCTATTTTCTCTTTTCTTATCTTCAAACGCCCCCAATGTTTTATTCGTGCACTTGAACACAATTAGTAACCCTTAAAAGATACCTTCCACCCTTCCTCTTCCTCACCATATCCTGTCATCCAATTTTCTGTGCTTGCTGCCATTTGTTAAATTCTTCATATCCGGTTACAGTTATACCTTTATATCTTTGTTAAATAACTTTGTAACAAGGTTGAGATGTCAACATCTGCCTCCCAAGGAAATGAAGTCAAATACATGTACCAGATCCGAAATACATTTAGATAATTTATTCCTACTACTTCCATGTTTTTCCTGCGCCCCGCCTCATCCGCTATAGATTATTCAAGTAAATAAATTGAATGAATGCTTGATAGATAAAGAAGTGAACGAATGAACAAATGTATAAATAGATGCAGAAATCATAGAATATATTAACGTAAATTAAAGTAAAAAAAAAGAAACGTAAATTAAAATAAAAAAAGAGATGAGAAACAGAAAGAATAGATCGATGGATAAGGGGGAAAACACCAAAAGAAAAAAATGAGGGCGCGACTGATTACGGCACACACAGTACTGTAACAAATAACAGTTCCATGCTCGTGTTGTTGCAGCACCGGCTGAACCCAGAGTCTCACGAAGAATGACTTGCACTATTTTGTCTCTGCTCTGATCAAAGGATACAAGGCATCCTTCTATCCATCTCTACGTCTTTCATCTTCGTGCAAGATGGCCCCCAACATGCGAGCTGTATTCACCGTAGCACCTGTGATGGTCTGGCCATTTTGACTTATGGCGAGGAAACGCGCGGAACATTATGGCATTGAAGTTATGTGTTTTAACAACTTCAATTGCTGTTTTCAAGATTAATGAGAATTGGAATTAGATATCAAGACGTCAGCGTAATGTACCGTACATATGCACCTGATATACTAGAAGAAGAGTGGGGTGATGGTGTGATATTTCAATTTGAAATATATAACAGGTGGATAAAAAATGTACAAACTCTAATTATTTATCAAAATTCATCAATTGTTATTTTATGAAAGCTAGTAAGTGTTTTTTACTGCCACTGAAGACAGTAAAATAATCTTAATTAATTAATTAAATAATACTGAAATAAACAGAGAACGGTATGCAGCTTTACAGCAGATGACATAAATCATCATTATTTTTTTTATTTAAAAAAGATTACAGGTAAAACCCAGGAAGCTTAAGGCTGGGTTTTGGTATCGTAATTTTTTTAATTATCAATAGAACTGATCCCCACAAGGTTTTACAAAGGTTATCAAACCCAACAGTGTAGCTATATCAGTATAAAATTAAAAACCACTGATGAATAACAGATGAATTTTAGTATTTATAAGTTAAGGTTTTTCTTTATCCACCAGAAGACTGCATTGTTTAAGATACGCCAACAATATACTATAACTTTAATTTGGAGTAATGAATTTTTGATTTCAAAGAATTCACCGATCTCAACGAAGGCCGCCAGCATTCCAATTTTTGTACACTGGCCCAATTTGTCTTGTATTGTCCTAACATTGCATCAAACACATTGTCACAAATATGAAATAAAATAAATGGTAAAACATATAATTAAAATGAATATTGACGACAACAACAAAAAGCCTTCTCCATCATTATGTCTTAAAGTGCAGTCAATGTACGGTACAGTGGAAAATCAAATCCATTTCTTTACATTTGACAGTTGGCCGTGCGTGCCGCACAATTGGTGAAAAGTTATAATGTTCTTATGTTTTTCGACATCCAATATCGTCTGATAGTGACGGCTATTTTTAACCTACAGGTCAGGCTACGGCAACCTTTCCATAGCTGCACGGGTTAAGTGCAATCCAGAATATTTCATACATTTTTTTTTTACATCTCCAGTTGCCGACCCGCTTTCTACGTGTTACAGTTTTGGGGAAATTCACGACGAACCATACAGTTGATTTCTGCCCCGCCCTTTCCCAATCCCTACTACGACTTAAAAATTAATGAATTAAGCCGATCTCAGTGCTTACCTCAAACTTGCGTTAATACAATAAAGCTTTGGCGTTATAGTTCAATAATGAAATGAACATCAGTGACTTTGGGGACATAGTGTTTCTTGGTGTCTCATACTTATCCTGAATCGAAATAAATCTAATTTCGCTTATATACAGTATTGGTTACACTCCTTTGACCTTAGACATTTAGTAAAACCTGGCCCCTGTTAAAAAAAAAAACTTAAGTCAGGTTCCCTGGCTAAGGATGTGCGCATGTGTCCATGAGATTGCTGTATCACTTTTCCTGATCATGATAGGGTAAGATGTGTGCATGTGACCGTGTAACGTTGGTAACAAAGATCATAGCCAGGGCACCTGACTTAAGTTTTGACTTTTTGTGTGTGTGTGTGTGTGTGTGTGTATTTGTGTGTGTGTGTGAAACTGGGGCCAGAACACTCGGACCGCTCCTGGTCAAGCATTTCGTGACGTATGCAAACAGACGTGGAGCCGTGCCTTATCATTTATGCGGTATTATCAACAAAACAATTAGAAATTATGAATCTAGGCACGCGGAAAGAGAGGGCCTCACAGCAGACGCGTCGGTGCATACTGATCAGCGCCTTATTAAAATTCGCAATACGCGTGCTTGTCATCTGATTAAGACTCTTCATACACCTTCCTTAATACAAACGGCGTCCGCAACATATCTGATGACAATGGCAATATTATACTGTCACACTGGGATCACCCTCGTCGACGAGATGTGCCCTCGAAGACGCTGTCTCCAGTACGCTGTCTCTATAGGAACAAAACTTAATGTTTGCTTAGGATTTTAATGAAAGGTGTCTTTATATTAAACAGTTTAGTAAAGCACAAAAGTTGGGTTTAAAGATTTAGATATGAAATAGTATCAACTTCAGATAAAAGCTTGTGAAAATGATTTAAACCAACATCTTACAAGAACGTTTAGTGGCCGTCAAATAAAAGAAATTGTAGAAAGCTTTAACATGCATTCTGTAAAATGATTTGCTTTTTTCTGTGCATGGAATAAGATTAAATTCACATGATTGACACCTTTGTAATAATAACTTGTTATTTTCTTTATCTCTCTCTTTATATACTTTTTACTTGTCTTTTGTTCTCCATAGAAATACTCGCACTAAATCATGAAACACAGAGATAAATGTGACTTTATGTTATTCCTGGTGAAAGCACAGAACAAAGGAGATGACGGGGTAAAAACTTAAGACGTTATATTTTGCCTCCAACCACCCCTCTAAAAAAAAAAAATAAATAAATAAATAAATAAATAAAAATAAAAATAAAAAAGCGAATCTTATGAAACATGTTTCAGTGCGCCTCTGCTTGGGACAGCAGTATAAATAATGTTGTCTTTGTAGACATTTTCAACAAAACCCTTTATTCTACCACGAAACATTGCTTCAACTAAAAATGAATGTAATAAAAAGGTATTTAATCCAAGAATGATTCCCTTTTCTTCTATTTTTTTGTGTTTTATTCTCCTGCCCGTGCCATCAATTCCAGTGACTAATAAGACCGTAATAGGCGTGTGTTTCGTTGTCACCAGGAGTGTCCACGCTGGACAAGTTCATCTACCTGACCACATTACAATTGATTCAATTTGTTATCAAGGCTGGTCGCACTCGGCTCTACCAAAGAATATACATCAGATCCGACGCGTCGGTTATCTGGTCGACGGGCGATTAAAGCCAATTAAAATCAGGTGTTCCGCGTGTCATTTTACGTGGCACGCGACTGCGTTGTCATGTCCCTGTGTTAAATGGGGGCTGTTTGGCAATTAAGTGTTATTTGAAGAGCGGATTGTTTAGCGGTGCTGCTCGTGATGGTGTTGGTCACGGTAGTGGCGTTTTGTACCAGGGATCCCGAAAAATTGTTCCTTGAATGGCAATTCTGTCTCTTTGGCACAGCGGTGTACATGCGCGAGTACAAGCATTCTTGAAGGCCCACTCTCAAGTGTACGCACTTTTACGTGCACGCACATGCTCTCTGCATGCTGCTCGCGTACGTTTATGTATTTGACTTACAATACACACACACAGAGAGAGAGAGAGAGAGAGAGAGAGCTTAATTTTTTAAAGCTTCCAGCACATTGTTTTTGTGCAGAAATATCGCTCCTATCTAGTCAGCATTGCAACACATTATTTTGATACATAAAACTTAAAAACTTCCAACGTCATTAATTGGATAGCTATGATTACGCAAGCGTCTCCATTGTTTTAAACCCAATGTTCATGCTGACTCAAGGTTAAAGAGAAAGTTTTCTGTGCTTATTTCTATTAATTCTCCTTTTCGCTCTGTATTTGCGATTGTTATCATAAGATGCACTTTGAATTTCAAATACCTTTGTTTTCCAATTATTTAAACAGAAAATGTTGATGAGGATGATAAAGTTTCAATTATGGTTAATTAATTAGACAATTTATTATTCAGTAATGATATACAGAAGTGTTTCCTAGTAAATGCTGCGATATCGCCCTTTCTTCTGACGAGTCTTTTATTAGATGGAGATAATATTACCCAATTGAGCCATACAAACATGCAGTTGAGGACGCCGCCAGTTAATGTGCTCGTTTCCATTCCTAATTCTACGACCAATGTAATAATAGGAAGCAAGAACAAGAAATAAAACTCCACGAAGGCAAAAAATGGGTTTGGTCAAAATCATCGAGCAGTTTGATTAATTCATTGGATTGCGCTACTGCCATTATCATTAAGCATCTTTCAGCGTCATCTTCCTCATTTCCCCCTTTCCTCCAGAAATACAGAACGTGGTTTGGTATCATTCCTTGTAATTATACATTAAAAGAAGAGAATCAACTGCTAATTTGGGGGTTAATCATTTTTTTCTTAATGCATTTTTATTTACTTTTCTTTTAATCAAATTATAAATTGGTAATGTGTACGAATAAATTATTAAAGATATTTTACGAAATGAATTTTTGCTAACATAAATGAAATTTTAAGTGGAAAGATTGTTTTAAGAACAAAGAAGATGCTTACAGAATATTCCATTCTTCCATACTATTTTATTTGCCCTAAAATATGCCTTGACTAAAAACGTTTGAATTAATCTGTCAAAGAGATAAATAAATTTTGACTTAAGCAGAAGAATAAGCAAAAAAATAAAAGCTGATTAAAAACAAAATGTATTCTTAACAATATCTTTAATTCCTAGCTCAAAGACAAAAAACAACGAACATACATAAAATAAGGGCATAAAATTTATTCCCTCGGCCTTGCAATAATTAAGAACATTCCGATTGCAACGTGAATTCCACCACAAGTTACGATGCACCCGTTGCACTCCTTTCAAATGTGTCTTTGAGTACAATTTCATGAACAAGAAGTCCACTTCAACGGTGGTCAGGCAGCAATTGCACTTAGTTTTACAAGCCTTAAACGATATGTAATGAGCGCAACTATCTTGGCTTCAGCGTCCCTTGATGGAGGCCGGCGTTGCTGAAACAGAATCTCGATTGTTACTGTCCCGGGGGCTGATTGTCGCTAATGCACGCTGCTTGCGTGTGCCGAGTTAATTGCACCTTGGACAACCAGTTGCAGAGCGGACAGAACTATCATTAGACACTGCAAATCGTGTTCCAATCCATTAATGTTCACTGTCGGCTTGGGTTAAGTGCCGGGGATAGTCCGTATTTGAGATAACGCCTTCATCAGAGGACAATTTACCCGACGGTGCTCCATTTAACGTAACAATTAAGTGCCAATGACAGAAGGGGGAGGGGGGAGTCCAAGTGTCACGGAGTGCGTGCTTTGCTGGTGACAAAAATACTTCGGTGCAGTGAACCGCCTCCACATAGGTATTTGGAGATTCAGTTTGCTGATTTATGGATTTTTTGACGCTTTCGAAAGTTGGATAGCTGTATAGTTATTTTTCATAAATGTCTGTATTATATTTGGTTTTTAGAATTATCAAACCATCTGACCAATATTCGCCATCATCTTGATAAAAAATTTAATATTCATCATCATCTTGATAAAACTTTTACGCTATTCAGCTAGGCGCATGTTCGCACTCGTGAAAAAGGACTTTTCTAGTGATTCACCGAAGCCACACCTTCTTATGGCTATATATAAGACCTTAAAATGTGAAATATTTATCTATTGGTTTTGAAAGGAAGAAACAATTATTGCTATATCTATCGACGTTTTTGACGTTGTGGCGTTTTCCCCATCAAAATGTCTTCGTATTCTTTGTAATTGTCGTATCTTATTTAATTATCGTTGCAATTCATATTGTGCATGGTGTTAAATCATCTTAAATAAATTATATATTTTTGACAAAAATGTAAACGCCTGTTCGTCTGTATAATCCCTAAAATCTCATTAAATAGGCCTACTGGTAAGCAAAGTAAAAAAGAAATCATTAGGGCATTATTGTATGTGTTAGTAAGGTGTCGCATGAAAATTTGGGACTAGCTGTTTCATTTTTTATGATCATTTCCCCTTTGCGTCTTTTTGAAAGCAATCACAAGTACTAAGGGCCTGTAAAACAATGGCATATTGTAAAAGCAACATATTCATTTTCAAATAGATAAATAAACGTTGTCGCGCGTGTCTGTTACAGTCCGTTTGGTCCCTGTCACCCCTAATAACGGCACAATCTCATTCTTAAGGTTAATGTCCAAGATCAAAGAGGCATCGGCCTTGATAAATCGCCGGCCCGCGAGAACGACTTTTCTCGCGTGCAGTATGAAAACGTAGTTGACCCTGACCAATGATTGGCTCCCGACCTTGGTGACGTTACGCAAGGGTCATATCCGCGCCTTTTGATTGGTCCATTCGGCAGTTCTGTTCGTCGGGGCTATATCAGATGATACGTACAGTGTTAAGTGGATCACATAAAATTTGCATGCGTATCTTTTGATCCCTAGTCACTTATCTTTTAATCACCCGAGTGCTAAACGATCTCGTTAATTCAGTTCATTAGCACGGGTACTGGTATATAAGGCTGGGACTCAGACTGAAGGTAATAGAGAAACATTTGCGGCGAAGCACGACGGCAGATTTCATAATACTAGGAGAGGCATACCCTCACGTACTATGTCGGCACTTTTCTCAATAGACAGACTAGCGATCTCTTCGCAACGATTTCGATCTCAGAGTTTATCCTCCGATGGAAGCGAGGGGTCTCTAGAGAGCGAGCGGTACGACGGCTGTCGGAGCCCCACCTCCCTAAGTTCACGCTCCCAAACCCCGTTCTCGGACGCCAGGGGCTCACCTCCGCTGCAAAGGCCCGTAGGATCTACCACATCCTCGTGCAGAAGTTTTTTCATAAGAGACATTCTACGACCGGACTTTGGGGCGAAGCGAGAGCAAAAGGCACAGTTTTACTCTTATCCGTCCTTCGTGAAACAGGAAGGCGGTTTGGACGGTATTTCCACGTCGCCGTTGAGGGAATCCGCCACTTCTCCTGACACGCGACTACCAGACACAGGGACTAAGACGCCTCAAGAAAATCTTTGGCCAGCTTGGGTTTTCTGCACGCGTTACTCCGATAGGCCATCAGCCGGTAAGTTTAGAACAGAATAATGTTTATAATTGTTTGAGACATGAAAAGTACGAAAACGAACGAAAAAAAAGCTGGCGGAAAACTAGTTTTATATTGAAGAACCGTAACTCGGTTAAAGTATTTGGCCAGTGAAATAACGAACCGTGGGAACTTACATATGCAATCAAGAAATGTGTGATAATGTCTGAAACCGTGATTTGAATTTGATTCATTTAAAATAACTACTGTTATGATCCAAGAGTAACAAAAATGCATGTGGTTTGGAAACATTTAAAATGTACAAGTAAAAAGGCAAACAAACAGGGAACAAAAACAATTTACGTCTACGTCTTTATATATGTTAGATATTTCTATAATGGATGTCTTGCATAATTTATTGTTATTAATTTCAACACGAAACATCAAGCAGAATAAGACGCGTTATTTGAACATGGCTTGTATTGTACTATTAGCGTTATATATCTATATTCCCTTGTTTTCTCACGGTTTGAAATGTCAGTAATCAAAATTTACCGTTTGTGCTTTATTCATTTTGATATCTATATTTTAGATCTATTATTTTAAATCTTTACTATTTAACACTAAAGCACTGTAAACAATAAAATATATCAACAAGATCAAGGACAGTCAAAGCCAATTTTTAAGCGCGTTAGATATGAGGGTTGCTCGAAAAGCGATCAACATATTACCAAGCGGATTGTTAGATTTTCGCGAAAAAAAATTGAGAGCGAAATTTATGACCAGTCATTAAATATTTTCGGCAACCCCGCTCACACACGGCCTGTCGCGCCTTCAATTACTGGCTAGGTTTTCTCGTTTAAAAACCATCAAACTCCGTTTAAGTAGTTTCTATTAAGTGAAACTTGATGTCTCATTTAAGTCACAAACGTGATGCAGGGAATTCTCAAAGGTCCCTGACAAATTCTTTCTTTTTTATTTTCAATATTTTTTCATCTTAATTTTGACACCCGAAAAACTGTATTATTATTGTTTAAATATTATACATCTGTGTGTCATTTATGTGTCATTTATTTATAATGCCACCAATGGGTGCTAATGTTTAGTGAATGTTTAGCGGTAGATATTTAAAGTTAAATCCATATGAAATAATTAAAATTATTCATTGTATTTATGTCTGTTTTCATAGGCCCAAGGTCGAGAAAAATCCGAAAAACAAAAGACGCCGAAGCCGAAAAACGACCAAGAACAGCTTTCTCTACGGAACAATTGCAAAGACTGCGACAGGAGTTCGAAATCAATCGCTACCTGACGGAGCAGAGACGTCGACAACTGTCGGAGGACTTAAACCTTAGCGAATCCCAAATCAAAATATGGTTCCAGAACAAGCGAGCCAAGCTGAAAAAGAGTATAGGGAAGAGGAATGGTCTGGCATTGCAACTGATGGCGCAGGGGCTTTATAACCATTCCACCATGCCCTTGGAATCAATGGAGTGAACGGAGAGATAATTATAGACACATCAAGTTACGTCATCATACCACTGTAGTATGACGTCACTATGCCATGACAATTGATGCCAAGCTGTCATCGATGAATCAAGTAATTTAAGAACTATATTAACTTCAATTTTTGTTATCATTTCTGCATTTTTTAAAAAAAAATTATTATTACCCCTAAAACGAGCAATACGCCATGTTGGGTCAAAAAATAATTAGTCAATTTATTGTAAATATTTGAAAATATTGCATATTTATACTTAATAAGTTTTGTATATAAATATTGGAACAAATAGAATGTTTGAATATGACAGCGGCCTTTGTGAAAGGGGAAATATGACCTTCGCTGTCGTTTCGTTCTTTATAGCCTTCCTAAACCTAATTCGTTTAAAAGATAAGCTAACTTAATACAGTAACGCTCGAACATTTTAGGCAGAAAAAAGGGTGTTAATTGCCACATTAATTCTATTTAGGGGCAATCACTGACGTGACAGGTTACATCCTAGCCTTTTTTAAATGTCGTAAAAGTCGAAAAAGATTAGGTCTAGAGTGAAAGCTAAATGTTCTCTGTGTTTCACATGAGTGCGCTACCGTTTTAGATTTCCGTCCATTAGATTGATATTAACTAGGCCTGAGCCATGTAACCCGTTGCCAACGTGTATAGTGAGTTAAGTGTTAGTTGCACCATTAACTTTTAACTTTTGCACCAGCAGTAGCAGTAATACTAGTATAACTTTGTGATGACCTAACATTAGTAGTAGCAGTGATAACAGTANGAACTTACATATGCAATCAAGAAATGTGTGATAATGTCTGAAACCGTGATTTGAATTTGATTCATTTAAAATAACTACTGTTATGATCCAAGAGTAACAAAAATGCATGTGGTTTGGAAACATTTAAAATGTACAAGTAAAAAGGCAAACAAACAGGGAACAAAAACAATTTACGTCTACGTCTTTATATATGTTAGATATTTCTATAATGGATGTCTTGCATAATTTATTGTTATTAATTTCAACACGAAACATCAAGCAGAATAAGACGCGTTATTTGAACATGGCTTGTATTGTACTATTAGCGTTATATATCTATATTCCCTTGTTTTCTCACGGTTTGAAATGTCAGTAATCAAAATTTACCGTTTGTGCTTTATTCATTTTGATATCTATATTTTAGATCTATTATTTTAAATCTTTACTATTTAACACTAAAGCACTGTAAACAATAAAATATATCAACAAGATCAAGGACAGTCAAAGCCAATTTTTAAGCGCGTTAGATATGAGGGTTGCTCGAAAAGCGATCAACATATTACCAAGCGGATTGTTAGATTTTCGCGAAAAAAAATTGAGAGCGAAATTTATGACCAGTCATTAAATATTTTCGGCAACCCCGCTCACACACGGCCTGTCGCGCCTTCAATTACTGGCTAGGTTTTCTCGTTTAAAAACCATCAAACTCCGTTTAAGTAGTTTCTATTAAGTGAAACTTGATGTCTCATTTAAGTCACAAACGTGATGCAGGGAATTCTCAAAGGTCCCTGACAAATTCTTTCTTTTTTATTTTCAATATTTTTTCATCTTAATTTTGACACCCGAAAAACTGTATTATTATTGTTTAAATATTATACATCTGTGTGTCATTTATGTGTCATTTATTTATAATGCCACCAATGGGTGCTAATGTTTAGTGAATGTTTAGCGGTAGATATTTAAAGTTAAATCCATATGAAATAATTAAAATTATTCATTGTATTTATGTCTGTTTTCATAGGCCCAAGGTCGAGAAAAATCCGAAAAACAAAAGACGCCGAAGCCGAAAAACGACCAAGAACAGCTTTCTCTACGGAACAATTGCAAAGACTGCGACAGGAGTTCGAAATCAATCGCTACCTGACGGAGCAGAGACGTCGACAACTGTCGGAGGACTTAAACCTTAGCGAATCCCAAATCAAAATATGGTTCCAGAACAAGCGAGCCAAGCTGAAAAAGAGTATAGGGAAGAGGAATGGTCTGGCATTGCAACTGATGGCGCAGGGGCTTTATAACCATTCCACCATGCCCTTGGAATCAATGGAGTGAACGGAGAGATAATTATAGACAGATCAAGTTACGTCATCATACCACTGTAGTATGACGTCACTATGCCATGACAATTGATGCCAAGCTGTCATCGATGAATCAAGTAATTTAAGAACTATATTAACTTCAATTTTTGTTATCATTTCTGCATTTTTTAAAAAAAAATTATTATTACCCCTAAAACGAGCAATACGCCATGTTGGGTCAAAAAATAATTAGTCAATTTATTGTAAATATTTGAAAATATTGCATATTTATACTTAATAAGTTTTGTATATAAATATTGGAACAAATAGAATGTTTGAATATGACAGCGGCCTTTGTGAAAGGGGAAATATGACCTTCGCTGTCGTTTCGTTCTTTATAGCCTTCCTAAACCTAATTCGTTTAAAAGATAAGCTAACTTAATACAGTAACGCTCGAACATTTTAGGCAGAAAAAAGGGTGTTAATTGCCACATTAATTCTATTTAGGGGCAATCACTGACGTGACAGGTTACATCCTAGCCTTTTTTAAATGTCGTAAAAGTCGAAAAAGATTAGGTCTAGAGTGAAAGCTAAATGTTCTCTGTGTTTCACATGAGTGCGCTACCGTTTTAGATTTCCGTCCATTAGATTGATATTAACTAGGCCTGAGCCATGTAACCCGTTGCCAACGTGTATAGTGAGTTAAGTGTTAGTTGCACCATTAACTTTTAACTTTTGCACCAGCAGTAGCAGTAATACTAGTATAACTTTGTGATGACCTAACATTAGTAGTAGCAGTGATAACAGTACTACCGGTGATAACAGTACTGCACAGTTGAAATGCCATTGCCAGTAACAATGGTTGCACTTGCATTAACACCATCGGCAGCAGTAGCAGCATCGTTCATTAGAATAAGTGTTATAATTCCAATAATAGCACGACATTGAGTGTACAGGAAACAGGTAAAGTAGCATTTAAACAGAATTTTATTTTGAAATTAGCGATTACAGTAACAGTTGCAATAGCATTTGGAATACGTAGCACTTACTATGTACAGTCAATAGTAGCCTACGATAAAAAAAAAATCAACCACCTCTTTCCACGATTTTTACTTGGCTCTCAAACAATGAAACACAATGACTCTCATTCTTACAATCAACTAAAGAATAAATATAAAATAGTAGCAGTGACAATTCTACAATCAAAACACATTTAGAGTCAATTATATCAGTAGTGCCATGGTAGTGAAATGTAGTGTAGCAACACTAGTGCATGTAAGTAGTTTAGAGTTTGTATTTATGCCAGTTCTGTTCTCATTCAGTGTCCGCCAGTGCCAATGTCCGTGTGCAATGCTATATAGATGGTTACTTACTGTATAGACGCAACGGTTGCTGTAGAATTAGCAATAGCGATAGCTTAGCGGTAAATGCTCGTATTAGTTAAATAGACTTGTATTTAAAACGTACCTGAAATTGAAACTCAGATTCCCATGTTATTAGTTAACAGTATGTTAGGAATAGTGCCTGTTTGGGTGATTTAGATTGATTAGCGTGATAGATGTAGTAGCTTAAATGAGATTATTATGAGATCGTGATTTTGTCGTGTACCTGAGGCAAAGTTTCCCATTTTGTGCATATATTTAAAAATGGTCCATTATTTCTTGTATAATATTCATCAAAGGACCCTGTATATACAAGATCTGTAAATAATGTATTACACACGTTTTTCTTTGTAAATAAAAAAAGATGTTATTTTGTGAAGAAAAAGGCGTTTTATTTGTTTTGGCTAAAATGAGGTCTTTAAGCTTCTAACACAGAAATACGTGGAAGAAAAATTCAAATATAAATTCAAAATACAGAGACAGTATACATGATTGCCATTGCCTTAAATGGTGGTATTTTCTGTTTAATTAATTAATGCCCAACGTTGGGTTGCGTTCGCGAAGTAAAAATGTAAGGAATGCATGTAATTGTTGACTCATCTTACGTCGAGTTAAACAAAGCGGTCTTCATTTTCAGACTGGCACGTGGTGGCATTATACCTCTAGAAAACAAAGAAACAGTAACAATCGTCTGTTTCGTGTCTTTTTTCTCTGATCTAAATCCTGTTTGTATAGCCATTTTATGATAAAAATGCGACGAAGATGATAACGTCAAAAATAAAAATAGACAAATGATTAAAAAAAATTTTAACAAATTGTTAAGAGTATAAACGATCATAGATGAAAACACTTAACAGAGGGAGCAGATCTCGACAGCAACAGTTGTGCCATGCCATCTGAATGTCAACGCTACCTGGTACCAAAAAGACCTTAATTAAGCGACATGACGCGTTACCTCATTTCCAACTAAAACCATAAACAGCGGAGTGATATCAGAAAATCTAGATTCGGCACGAGGTTACACGTGCAGATGTTAAAACAATGAGTCCATTATAACCAAATCAAGCAAAGCCTAGAATTAACAGATACTATCAAAGAGACCATGATATGATCGACCCGAATTAATAGTCTGCGGTGCAATTCAGGGCACGGTTTAAGTCGGTCCGTATTAATAGATACAATCAAAGGGACTGTGGTTGAAACAATTTAAGCGATGCCACTTCACTGGAAATTAAAATAACTATCGCCAGCCGCTGATCTCAAATTTGTAATTGTCGATCGCGAGATAAGAAAGAAAGGCATCATTAAACCACGGTCTCGCTTTCTCGTGAATGGCGGAGGATTTAGATATGTAAGATGCGCTGTATAATAGAGCGAGCATGAATGAATCAATTCATGGAAGGACGTATTAACTTAATCTAACTAAAACTGACCGTAGAGCTAATGAGGTAGATACCACACACACACCTGGCGATCGTGCTAATTAAGGCAGATGGGATGTTCAAAGTGCATATCAATATAATTATATTGAAAAAACAATTTAATGCCATTTACTTCATCCTACTCTCGGTATACCGTCATTTATTTTTATATTTATGTTGCTTTTTCAAAATGTTTCTGAAGATATTTTTTGCATTTTTTCAACTTTTCAATTCTGATTGCTTTTTCATTTATTATACAGAGGTTCAGAATTTCATGAATGTATGTGGTGCACAGGGAAATAATCACTGATTATCATGTATCGTCAGGTCTGTATTCTTTTCATCTCGTAGTAAAAATTTCTCATGATGGTCTAAACACCATCTAATATTATCTATTTCAATAACACAAATACAGATGTGGACTCAGACATTAAGTTATATGCGATGCCCTCTTATCAAGAGGATATATAAAGAGTTTTACGTTTTACATGGCGCAGTCTTTAAAAGAGTATCAAGCGAGGTAACGATTACATGCATTCCTTTAAGTCGCACTTCGCATTAAGGGTATTTTAACAGAGTGAAAAAAAATCTTTTTTAAGGCTTTTACATGTCGTCGGGATTTTTTTCACTGTTTTTTTTTTCAATACAGATCTAAGACTATCGAAATCTTTTATGTGGTTTATTGAAGTTTTGCTGTTAGACATTCGTGGAAGTATTAATAGATGATAATGCATATCTAAGCTTTTCCACAAGTGAAACAAAATTATGAGCCATCGCGTAAAACGTACTTTTATCCGGGTTTGGGAAGAGAGTTTAACCGCGAAATACCTTGCTTTTTAATGTTACCACAGGATATCTAAAACGAAAATATAAGTTCAAAGACAAAATGAAGTCCCGAATTGTAGCCTCTTAAATG